TTTGCTGAATGCTGTAGTGTATCCACAAAATCCACGATTAAGAACATCACATTTCCTGTTGGAAACAGTCTCCTTATCAGTACCAAAAAGATCTGCCTTCAGATCTAGCATTACCCCAGGGCTGATCTAGAGAGGTTGGTGGGGTTCAGTGGAACCCCAGGGCTGGAAATCTCTTTTCCAAGGACCTCAATTGTAAAAATTTTGTGGGGGAAGATGCCCCCAGATCCCCCTACAGGGAACCCCCTTTGGTGGTATGTATCTCAAACCCCGTTCTCTAAAATCCGTACCTACCCCAGACTAGTTGACAATATTGAACATTGCCATAGGAGTAGGCGGTGTGAGACCCCTCTCCCACTTTTTGGGAAAAAATTAATGAAAAAAGCCTTACCAGTTGGAAATATTAAAGGTAGCTTAGAATAATTAATGATAAGCTTTGGAGGAAAAACACAACTGCTATCTCCTTCAAAACTGTGAAAATCTTGCTAATTTCCTCCTCCCTGCAACTATTTTGGGACTGCGCTATATCAATAATATTGTTGGGCACTTTAATTTATGGTTATGGACAAACATTACTATTATGAGGGGAGCTTGGACAATTTTCTGGGGCACAAAATTTTTTTGCTTGCCTTAAGGTTGTGCATGGATTTTTGTGGTGGGCAATGGCTTGTGCAACTGAATCTGTGAAGAGGATTTAGATAAAGTTTTGAACAACTAGTAGATTTCTATGAGTGATAGCTGACTCAGGGTGCACCCAAATCAACTATCACGCAATAGCAATCTCAAGCTCATAATCTAATTGTTAAATAGAAATACTTGAGAAAGTTTGGAGAACTTGAAAAAGCTGTACCCACTCATGTTTTCATAACTCGATAGAATTACAGAGCAAGTTTTCTATTTCTTAAATAAAAAGAGAATATTAATTTCCATTGACTACTGACCTCTGAAAGTGATCTGCTACTGTTGCACCCCATCCTCCTTCGCTAAACGATTCCTGTTGGATTTATAAGTTTCAACTCAAATTGATACAAATTGCCCACATTGTACACGCAGGATGGTATTACAAAATACCTAGCTAAATAAAAACTGAAGACAGGATTGATCATCGCAGTAATAAACACGAACCCAAAACCCAAACCCATGACCTCTGCGATACCGGTATCAAAGAGGTCATGGGTTTGAATTCCGTCCGGGCCT